TTGCCAACAGTTGCCGAGGAGAATGCGAGCAAGTTTCTGCTCGGAGACAGGATGGAGCCTTGTGGCCGTGGCATCTCGATTTTACATGGATAGCTTGCAAGTACTTACACATCCCATTCGGGGGTCCACGGCTCTGCTGACAGTGTGGATCAGACGTCGCTACGGCTAGTTCTGGAATGTTCTGGAGAAATAAACGCATCGTACGACCCGACCGAAAAACAAAAGCCGCCGCATCTTTTAAAACGTCTTCGATGACACCTTCGCTCCGCTCTTCGGCCAAACGCACAGCCTCCTCTATCCCGCGCATCTCCCCCACTCGCAGAAGTGATGCGAGTCTTTACGATGCGCACAACTGCCGATCCGCACCTCTACATAGGCGCCAGACGCATCGTCCCACGGCCTTGGCACATGATCTTCTTGATTGCACACGAGGGCACGGCTCTTGTAAATTGTAACAGTACAGCTTGGTGTGCATGGAACACAGGAGGCGATGCTGTGCGCTGCTGCAGCTCATCTAAGGCTCACTGGCTGAAACATTCCCAAGATTCGCAAGTCTTGCTTTTTGCTATCTCAGCGGTCTGCAGGCCGTTGCCAGGACAACACAAAGGAGAGGATCCAAAGCAGCACAAAGCCTTTCGGCTCGGTCCAGCACGCTTCTATAACGTGCCGGGCAGTGCGTTGCGAAGGATGAAAATGGAGGGCTGAGCACAGCCGAAGTACTAGCGAACCCAAGGGCTTGCAAAGCCCAACGGAGACAACCTTGGATGCCGGTGCATGAGATGAAACTCATAAGCAGCTTTCTTGTGCCATCTTCGTGCGAGCCAAGTATCAGTCGCGCAGCTGTCCTGGCAGACCGAGTCTGCATGATATCCTACTTAGTGCATGTGGTTCGCCAAGTAAGGCCGCTTCAGTTTTCGGTGCACTCTCGATGGGTTGCCTGATCTATCTTGATCTTTTTGCTAACAAGAAGTGGCGCAGCGGCGTCCTGTTGACCGACCGTGCTACTTGAACTTGAAGCTCCTTATCACGTGCAGACTGCTCCACAAACTTGCTCTGTGAATAGATCACACCAGCACACACCCGCACAAACCTACACGCGCACACACACACACACACACTGAATGGTTCATCTTTTCAGCCGCGCAGAGACCAAGTAAGTGCCGAGATGCATCGTCACGCACAGGGATCACGGTATGCTCTCGCACGCACCTCGCGAAGGAGGCAACCATGACCCAGACTTTGCTGATTCGTTGCGGAGAAAACCAGCGAACACACCACCACCACCACCGCCACCGCCACCACCACCACCACCACCACCAGCAGCAGCAGCAGCACAACATAGCACAACCACAGGCAAACAAATAACAAAAAAAACTAATTAGTAATAATAAGAAGAAGAACAAAAAAAGAACAACACCACCACCAACAACAACAACAACAAGGTAGGCGTTGTGACTGCGTTGTTTCTGCCGCCGCGGAGGGTGTGTCGATTTTTTTGATGTGTTTTCGTCAAGAGTCTGACAAATCCTGAAAACGTCGAGTTTTAAGTGGTTTTCGTGAATAAGAGGATGTTTTTTTCAATGTTTGTTGTTCTTTTTCTGTTGTGATTTTTGCGATACGAGTAGCGTCGTCAATACAGTGGTTATCGTTGATTTTTGAACGAGTTTTGCGTCCGCTTTAAAGTTTGTGTTTGGAAAGCCCGCAAAACGCAAGACTTTTGCAATGGGAACGTCGGACAAATAGCAGGAAAACAGCCGCAACAGGGAGCAACATTGTCGTTGTCATTGTTATCACCGTAGTTACCGTCATTGCAGGCGTTATCCTCTGCATGAACAAGCAACAACATCAACATCATTATCATTATCACCGTCATACTTACCAACATCATCGTAGTCAACAACATCAACATCATGAACATCGGCATCAGCATCATCATCATCATCTTCACCA